TCGTATACAGTCGTCGGCTCTGAACCGTAGTATATAACGAGGGAATAGCCATCGGGGATATCCACTCGATATCTGTAATATATATGATCATAATAGTATTCTGTACATTGCACAATATGTCTGGATACTTTCGTATTACAATAATGTAAAAATTCATTATATTTTAAATCATTAAAATATGTATGGTGAGACCCTGGTGTATTAATATCGTAAAATAAATTGCTTGGATATAATGTTGAATTCCATCGCTTGTAAAGTGACTGAACGCACAAAAGAATAAAACTTATTCTATCATGTTTATCGTTACAACGTTTACTGCTTTTATAATAATTGACAATGGTCTTTTTATATTTCAAAAAATTCAACTTATAAAGATCTGACCAAAATATGATAAATTCCCTATTAAACAAATGGTAGATACCTTCACTTATTGAATGAGCAAAAATGACAAATCTACTAAGCTGAAAACTATTATCATTAAATAAAATAAAATGCTTTATTGTGTCAAAGTCTTTTCCCCGATAGCCAACATTTGGTGCAATAGTAAAACAATAACCATCATGGGTAATTGCAAAATTAATGTATTTACAGTATAGACTACTGCCATTACCCATTTGTAATACACAAGGTAATTTAAATTCTAATAGTAAATTAATTTAATCGCCAATTGAAAGTTCATTGAATTTGCTACGATTTATGTATGGATTGATTGGGCTGTAGTACAGATGCTTTAACTCAGGTTTAATTAGCAAGGCTTTATCAATACATATGGTAAAAGCAGTGTCCATCAATTGAATGTCGGACTGTTTATATATGACATTAGTTGTGGTTTCGTATGAAAAATATATTAAACTTATTTCATACGTTTGATACAAACATCCCATCAAACATATCACGAATAAAAAAATTTTATACACCAAGTTCTTTGAAATAAGCATGGTTATATTGTTGTATGTAAAGTATTGTTTCAAAATTAATAATTATATAAACTTAAACATTTAGTTAATCTCCGTTGAGGTATACACAAAAGTATAAGTGATATAGTATTAGTTTAATAGAGATATATAAATGTACTAAAATATTATTGTCGTACCTAAAATGACATTTAATGTATGCAATCTTTGTAATCTAAATATAGTTTTTATTATTTTATATGTCAATCAATAAAATAAATATAAGGTTACGCCCTTTCTAGAAAATAAATTAAAATCAATACACCACTAATTAAAATATTGATTTAATTATATATAGTGGAACATTTTAATTTATATACTTTGCATTTAATTACATTAATTGTTTACGTCAAATATTTTTTATCACAATTTTGTATAACAGAAAATATGTTCCTTATATTAAATAAATAATTAAAATTTAATTTATTTTTACATCTAACTATTTACCGTTTAATTTAAATGCATTAATTTTATTCTACAACAATATTTTACAATAAAATTCTTATATTTAATCAAAATGTTAAATAATTATGGGTAATGCTAAGTCTATGGGAGTATAGTTATTTCAATGGGATAATGCTTTTCTATGGAGATATACTGAATGATTCTGCCATAATAAATCGAACTAATTGTTGTCTAAAACATTTCAAATTCTCAAAAAAAATAATAGTGAAAGTATTTTAAAAATAGTATTGAAAAATTTAAAATCTTTGATGCATTTCCCGAATTGTGGTTAACGTATAGCATCGCTNGTATTGAAAAATTTAAAATCTTTTGATGCATTTCCCGAATAGTGGTTAACGTATAGCATTGCTGTGTGTGAGTTGTTTTTTAATAAAAAAATAATAATAATATAATTACTTTTGTAATAGATAAATAATTAAAAATGATTGCCATGGATTAAAATTTATTATTGACGATAATTTATATTTATAATGTAATAATGATACTAAAAATTAATTAAAAATTCAATTAGTAGTATAATATAAACTATGGTATTTATTATTTACAATTTTATGGGTTAATGAGTTTCTACGTATATTATGAGTTGTACTTTTAAAATATTGATCTAGTTAATTTTTTATATATAATATTTTATATTAAATATCTCATCTATAAGTGCATAACAACTACAAATACAGGGAATATATAAAAATATATTTGTAAATTATATATCATATTATTATGGATAAATATAACTTTCTTAAATCTCGCGCAAATGCCATATTTGATAAATTTGTCAATAATGTCAACACATCATTTATTGATTGCGATCAATTTAATAAAGATGGTCGTTTACCCCATGATTTTAGTCCACGCACATTTAAATTAATGATGTATTCAAACAATGTACAAAATATAGAGTTACTTTATTTTTAAATAATTATCATATAATTAATTATAATATTTAGTGAATTTTGTAATAAAAATTATATTTTCAGTATGGATATTACCCCGATTATTATTCGAATGATGTAATACATATTTATTCAAAAGTTGTATCATTATTGGTAAATTTTGCTCCGCGAGTTAATTACAGGTAAGTATTTATTATTAAACATTGTTTGTTGTTACACTTTTTTTAAACTTGTCTCTTTCTAACTATTACTTTGTATTAATAATAGTAAATAAATAATAAATAACAATTTAATTAACAAATTATGCTAGCTTGCAATTATACGCGTTTCAATGCGAATATCAAACGGACATCAATAAAACTATGCAATCAGATCTGTTGCACCATGACCGTCTTACTTCGTACGCAGTGCCGCTCGTAGAGAATGACTCAGATAATTATACAATGGACCACTATGACAATTGTACTTGGCCACTCTACATCACCTACCAGTTTAATTATATAACACTGGATCGGTTAATGCCCTACCCTCCATTGGCAGATATTGTGTTAATATTTGACAGACACGTTTGGCTGTACCTAACCCTGGCATTCGTAACTATAATTATTATGGATAAACTAGCTGATATTGTAATGGACAGGTCAAGCACAGGTAGAGCGACCAGCGTAACCGAAAAATTGTGGATTTATATAAAATCCATATTGCTCATTGGCCACGAGTTTGGTTACCGTAATGTTCTATTCATGTTATGGTTAGCGTCGATCACGCCCTTAATCTATATTATTCAAAACGACGTGACAGGTACAATAGTAAACAGGAACATGTTTTCCACGGCGAGCATGGACAATTTGCTAGACCCAAAACGAGTTCTGTATGCGTGGCCCGATCATTACGCGTCAATTAAGGTAATACACTTAACCCGATTGATCATGTGATATTATATTAGTAGGAATATAAACATTTTAGGCTAAACTAACACGTGGCCAGTACGAACCGGAATTCAAAAATAAAATGACCAAACTGGTTAACAAAATACAAATTGATTATGACGTAGTGCTAACAGATTTCGCCAAACATAGCCATAGCGTTCAAGCAATATACGCGTACCTAGATCGTTATGCATATATTTCGTCGCTAGACAATATTGAAGCGTCCATGGTCACCGGCTCGTTATACAAACCGTGTCACACGGGTCAGCCAGAGCTGCCCTTTTATTACACAATTATGTGTTTTAATCCGCGCTTTGAATTTGGGCCAGAAGTGAACTTGATGTTTGTATAAATATTTTTATAAATATGCTTTATTATAAACTATAACCTAATCTATGAATTCCGAATTTTAATTATTTTCATATATGTTAAGGTCAAGACGTTTATTTGAAACAGCCATCATCAACTATTGGGATAAAGTATTAAATGATTTAATTCAACAGGTATACATAAATTTTGGCAATTTTTGGATTACCTCGTTGGGCTATCAGAGTTTAGACAATTTAATAGTCGATAAGAAAATACCTTACGAAACGTTTTCATATAAAATGTTTGCCGAGGTAATTTGGTTTATGTGCGCGTGCGCAATTGTCAGCTTAATTGTTTTATTCGGCGAGATTCAGTATTTTATATGGGTGACTTATCCTAAAACCATAAAATAAATTACGATCAGCCCGACAAAATTTTAATTATATTTTATATTTGGTCTAATCTACGCGCTCATTTGTATTAATTTCAATTTTGGCAATTTCTAGTCTTACTATTTATTGTAAAATAATGTCACATTTACAAAAAACAGATGATGATTAGTATACAGTATATATCTAAATTTGCCAATTATAATTTGTTTATTAAACACAAAATGATAATTTTATCACAAACAATATCATTATAAATTTTACGATATCCATAAGATTGTATTTGGCAAATAAAATATTTTTTAAAAATCAATTTAAGTTTAATATAAAAAAATAAACTAAATTGAGTTAATAGTGACATAAATACACTAAATAAAATAGTTTTTTTTGTATATTTGTTATTTACAAATAATTAATAATAAAATAATTAACTTGTTATATTTTTTAATTATAATAATTTAAATTAATTAAATTGTTTATGATTTTTATTAATAATTAACAATGACAATCAAATCTAATAAACATGATAATAATGAAAACCAGGATGACCAGGTGTACACCACTTGCGGCCTTGGTTCGTGGAGACCGCCATGGTTGCAAATGTTTGGAACGCCATTCTATTTTATAATAGTTTACGCAATGATAGGTATAGTGCAGAGTATGTCCGGCACTTATATGATAGCAGTGTTGACATCAGTGGAAAAAAGGTTTGCATTTGACTCAAAAATTTCAGGATTTATTTTAATGGCCGATAATATAATGGAAATGTTGGTAAATAAACTAAACCTTAATTATTATTTGAATTATTATATTATTTATATGTTATAATTTATTTGCCTGTAGCTCAGCCCAATTGTTGGTTACCTGGGCAATCGATACAGCAGACCCCGTATGATTGCCTTGAGTGAATTTGTACTAGTTTTGTCATGCGTACTGAACGCCACACCGTATTTTATTTACGGCCCGGGAACACACCTACTATACAATGACACATTATTCTCATCTACAATGACAGCAAATAACACGCGATATGAATTGTGTTCTGCCAAAGTCGACACAATAGATTGTACTGCAACAGGTGGTCACTCTACTGTATGGCCAGCGGTTATTATACTAGTTATTGGCAGTGCGTTGAGGGGTGTCGGCTATACAGCCTATTGGGTATTTGGTATCGCATTCATTGATGATAGTGTTAGCAAAAATAATTCACCATTATATATGAGCTTGGTTGCCATATTAAGAATGATCGGTCCAGCCAGCGGTTACGTACTAGGCTCTATTTGTCTAAAATATTACGAAAATCCATTTTGTAAGCATAATTTAGAATAACTATTATATAAATATTGACAGCAAATTAGCATTTTAGTATTTGATTTATTACATTTGTTTAATTGGTCATCATTTATAATATAAATTTTATATATTAATTTTGAATCGTTTAATATTATTAATAGAAAAATCTTCATTTATAGTTGAGCCAAATATATCGCGAACAGACCCGCGATTTATTGGCGCTTGGTGGATGGGATTTTTTGCAATTGCAATTTTATTATTTGTGGTCACTCTACCTATGTTTTTATTTCCGAGACAACTAAAAGGGGCTTCGGTTAAGGAAGTTGAACGAATGGATTATGATACTAGTATGCGAGGTAATTAATAAAATTCATCATAATGAGTTATATATACAGTATACTTTCAATAATTGAACTTTCAATAATTATTGTTGGTCAATTTGTTATGTTAATATATTTATAAAATATTTTAAAATAGTTTATTTCATTATAATATTATGCAGATTTATTATACAACAAAAAACGCACACCCAGGGGCAAATTATTATAAACACTAAATACAAATGTTGATTTAATATCACACTGGTTGTTTATTTTTACAGGAATCTGGCACGCAGTGATACGGGTGCTGACAAATCCACTATTCATGTTCAACATGATTGGCAACGCATTGCGATATATGGGAGGGGCTGGATACAGGATTACTAAACCCAAGTATATGGAGTCCCAATACCGGGTGTCGGGCAGCAAGGCCAATTTGCTAACCGGTCTGACCGGTGTAGTGCCGGTAGGCATTGGGATTTTGGCCGGTGGTATTGGTATCAGATATCTCAAGCCCAAACCAATTACCTTAATTGTTTATATTTTTGCGCTCGAATGGGTTTCAAACAGCGTTATGTTTACGTCCATATTTCTGGGTTGTCCGCCATTGCAACTTGGCCCAAATACGGAATTTACAAATACCAAGTTTGTTTGACAGTATTTCTTAAAAAACATTTATATGAATTTATTTATTATTAAATCCATAGGTACACAATGAACGCCGGTTGCAATCAGGGCTGCGATTGCACTAATAGTGTATTTACACCAATGTGTTCGGCCGATAAGGTGACCACATATTTCTCACCATGCTACGCCGGTTGTAAATACATGGACAAAAACACTGGGGTAATATTCACATTTTGTATTATGAATGTAAATTATTAGTGTTAACATTGACATACATTAATGCTAATAAATCATTTGGCCAGATTGCTACAAATTGTACATGCATTTCTGACCATGGTGGTTATGCTACTAGCGGCTATTGTCAAAGTGATACCGATAATTGTACAAACTTGTACAGTTATGTATTGGTCCGAGCGATGCCACAACTATTAACATCTACTGCAAGAATTGGAAATGTTTTAATTGCATTACGGTATGAATAATGTGCACATAAATTATTAGCGCATCAAATCTAGATAATAATAAATTTTATTTTTATTATTAATATAGAGTAATAGATCCTAAAGATAAAAGTTTTGCCATGGGTTTTATTAATGGCGTTCTTGCTTTGTTTGGTATAATTTATATTGGTGCTTTATTATATATAATTGCAATATTATAACTGTGATCTTTATGAGCTTAGCATACATACCGTATTCAATGATATTCGGCGCAATTGCCGACTCAGCCTGTCTGATATGGGAGAGTACGTGCGGTAAAACCGGTAATTGTTGGCTATACGACCAGGACCGTTTCCGATGGGTGTTACATGGTTCAGCTCTAGCGTTTATGGTAGCAGGCTCATTATGTGATTTTGGCTTAATTGCCAAAGCCAATCTGATTAAAAATTTTTACGATGATGGTGTTAATGATAAAAGCAATGACAATGAGAATAGTAATGTTGTTACCAATGATATAGCGTTAAATATTGTAAACACTGAGATGATTGTTAGTGATGATAATGTAAATAGCAACAATTAATAAAACTTAATTATTAATAAATAACATATTAATTATTAAAGTTTGTTTAATATAATTATAAATTAATTTATTAAATAATTAAAAATTACGGATTATATTTGCAATTTATTTATTATGTTTATAATTTACTATAATTAGTTTATAAAGTATGTGCATATTTTATTTTATAGTTAATTTAATACTTAATATAATAATTATAGCAATTAATAGTGTATTTATAAAATCATATGTTATTTTATATTTCAGTTTATATAGTTATGCAACTTTATTAACCTTGGATTTTTGCCGTGTCGTATTTTATAAACATTTGTAAATATTTATTACATTAATCAAACAACAACAAAATAATTAAACATGCGTAAAATATAGTCGCCATTGTGTAAATAATTTGTTAAATTATTAATAAATTAATAATGATTTAACTATAAAAGTAATTATTATTAATAAAAATAAACTAAATTAATTACAAATTACTTGATGCAATTGTGGTGATTTAACATTTACTAATTATACCTACGTTTAAATTATAATTATGACAACAATGTTATCAAGACACACCCTTATCGGTAAGATATTAATGCCATAATGAATTATAATTTTAATTATTTCTAAATTGTTATCAGGTTCAAATACAAATGTACATAATAAAGTAACAAATGAAGATGACCTTATTGCAATCAGAGAAAAATACTTAAAATTAATTCAACAAATTCAAATTAATGAACAAACATATATGGCCAAGCTCAGTTGTTTAACTCGTCGCATAGCCGACTTAACTGATGATGAACAGTCTAACAATTTACTTGATAACATTGAAAAATGTTATTGCTTATCTCTCAATACTGATCCAGGTGCTAGTGCCCTCAGTCAAATGCAAAGAAAATACAGTATGCTATGCAAAAGTGTTGAAACGAATAAATTATTGCACCAAACAAATATACAGAAACTTTATGGCAAACTTGGCAAACTTATTAACATGTAATTAAATACTGTATTATATTTTTAACTTGATAATTTTTAAATTATTTATTTTGTAGGCAATTTACATGCAATATATGCACAGATGCGGTGCCGAGAAAACGATTTATATCGTGCGGTTGTCTGCATAAATATTGCGCTGGATGTTTGGCAAAACATATTACCACGCTTATTGCGGCTGGTCAGTTTGATAACATTGGTTGTCCAGCGCAAGGGTGCGATACAATGGCCTCACAAATTATTATCAAGCGTTTGGTAGACACAGACAGTTATGACCGATATGAATATTTAACGCTAAAACATGCGGCTGGAAATATGCCCGACGTGGTAAATGATTTACTATTAATAGATTTATTCTAGTGAAATGTTATAATATTTACATTAATTACATTTTATTATAAATAAAATCACTATTATATATTAGTTTTTATTAAAATAAAATTATTATTAGCTTAATAACTATCATTAAAAACTAATGTATGCTAATTAACATTAATTAATAATTATATAGTGTTACTGTCCAAACGAACAATGTAACTGGATTGTAGAAATGAACAATACCGTCGGTGCCAATTGTGGCAAGTGTAAGCTGGAATTTTGTACCAAGTGCCGCAAACATTACCATGGTGCTTGCGATTATGATGAACAGCGGGAACGTATGTATTGTGAACAGGAAGAACAGGCAAATGCTATGATTGCCAGCACAACAAAATCATGCCCTGGTTGCGGGTCTCCAATTGAGGTAGGTACATTAATAATTACTATGAAGTTTTGGTTTTAAATATTAAAATTGTACTATGTAGAAAAATGATGGCTGCGATCATATGACCTGTACTGTTTGTGGCAATGAATTTTGCTGGTTATGTAAGGCTGGATGGGCTAATCATTGGAGGTGCGCGCGTTAAATTATGGCTACATGTATGTAATGTAAATATTACCAATATATCAGTCTGTATTATCAATTAGGCTGCCGATTATATTTGCACTTTTGTATTGATTTATGCTTGATACAGATTATTATTATGTGTTTTTCTTTGATTAGACATATCTACAGAAATAACAGTACATTTAATTGATGTACTATGCCAAATATTTATTAAATCAGGAGATTTAATTATGTAAAACAAATTATTAATTATAAGCAATTTGTATGTTAATACAGCTATATTTATTTAAAGATTATAAATTTTTAATTATTTGTAACTTATAACATAATATTTAAAAAATAATGATTTTTATTTAAAGTGTTATAAAATTATAATTAATTTAACATAATGAAACTAACATTTTTATTTACAGTATAATTAAAATTTATTTATTTAAACTTAACGTAAATTGTAAAATAAAATATTGGGAAAATTCCTTGTTTGATATTTTAATATCTAGTTTATTCTGTGAATGTGTGTATAGTTTATGTATAATTGTCGGCAGTGTTTGTGTTGAACATTCTGTTAGTAAAAATAGGGTTAACTTATTTTAGATATAGCACAAAAATTAATATGAATTAATTTCACACATTATTGAAATATAAATTCTGGGTAATATTTCATTTTATTTTTACAAATAGCATAAATATTTTAGATTATTATTATTGCATTATAAATATTTAATAGTATTTAATAATATTTATCAAAATATAAAAATAATTCTAAGAACATGTCATTTTAACACAAAACAGATGAAGATTATTATCAGCTAATAATCTATTTAATTTATAACTTACTTAATTAAAGTGCAATAAAATACCAAATTAATAATTTGACACAAATTGATTATCTGTTTAAATATTGCAGATGGAAACAAATTTTAACTAAACAATATAAAATTAAATTGAATAGAGTTAAAAGTGACATTAAGTGAACTAAAATAAATCATTTACTTAAAATAATTGAATGTATAAATAATTTATTATTCTTTTACATGTAAAAACAAACTAAATTATTCAATTAATACTGAGTTATTAATAAATAATTATGCCAAGTAAATATAACAAACAAAACAAACATGATAATAATGATAACGAGGATGACCAGGTGTACACCACAATGGGATTAGGCTCCTGGAGACCGCAATGGTTGCAAAGGTTCGGCACTCCGTTTTGGTTTATTGTGGTTTACGCTATAATAGGTGTCGTGCAGAGTATGTCCGGCACTTATTTGATAGCAATCTTTACATCAATAGAAAAGCGATTTGCATTCGACTCAAAAATATCAGCAACAATTAATATGGCTGATAATATCATGGAAATGTTGGTAAATAAATTCAAACGTGATTATTAAACTTATGCTTGTAAAAAATATTTACATAGATAGTCAAACAATTCATTATACATTATGTATTATATTATTATTAATTTATTTATGTTAGCTCGGTCCAATTGTTGGCTACCTCGGTAATCGGTATAGTAGACCTCGTATGATGGCCATTGGCGAGTTAGTACTGGTGCTGTCATGCGTAATAAACGCCTCGCCGTACTTTATTTACGGCCCGGGAACGCACCTACTATTCGATGACACACTACTGGCATCGCAAATGACAGCCAATAACACGCGCTATGAGTTGTGTTCTGCAAAAATTGATACAATAGATTGCGCGGCAAAAGGTGGTCACTCTACTGTATGGCCAGCGGTTATTATCCTGGTTATTGGCAGTGCGCTGAGAGGTGTCGGCTATACTGCCTATTGGGTATTTGGGGTCGCATTCATTGATGATAGTGTTAGCAAAAAGAGCTCACCATTATATATGAGCTTGATGTCTATAT